GTCGTGTTGAATGAGTGCGTCTTCTGTGCTGCACACACAAAGTAAGTCGTGCCTTCTGGGCTGGGTTGGTGCTTCAGAGGTGTGGGGTGAGTAGTGAGTGGATGTGTGTGAGTGAGTGAGTGGGTGGATGGTTTGCAGCTTACCAATGAGATAGATGTGTATTGCCTTAATAGACATTGATGTTGTAACACAAAGGTGATTTCCCTTCATTAACCAAATTTAACAGTTATCGAAGAGTATGAAGTTCACAATCATTCGTTGTTCTGGGTGGGATTTTGTTGCACAGCTTTTAAACAGCAGGTCTAGGCGTGAGGCAATTGCTTCACTGTCTGCGTTATTCATTATACTGCTGGAAGTTGTTCCTAACACATTGCTATCAAATAGTTTGTTTAGGACTGCTACTCAGTCCTTCAAGATGGTGCACCCACCTTTGTGTAAGCTGCTACTGAACTACAAAAAATGCAAGTTACTTCTAGATGCTGCCTTCTGCTAGTTCATCTGCCCCAAATACTACACGAATCTTGCAGGAGGCTTCTGCGAACTTGGATTGGGAGAAATTTGTGAAGACAAGAACGGCCATCTCACTGGCAGACGGACGCATATATGTAGCTGGCGGCGCATATAAAAATATCCAAGGAGTTTCTGGAGCCCACAAGTCACTGCAAGTGTCATAACAAAAATGTTACGAAATTTAGTGGTCATTTGATGATTTACAATATCTGCAAAGAAGCTGGAAGCGACTTCCCAGCTTTAAAAACATTTAACAAGAAATGCAACTTTTACATGACGCTACAGTCAACACACTGAGTTGATAGTGGACTTTTCATTAGAGTTAACAAGCCATCAATTGCATTTCCTCTTTTCTCATTACATCCTTATCCAATATGTGCTTCAATGTGACGGTGGGTAGACCCCAGAGGTGAATAAAACCGAAAATAAGGTACTGGAAATGGGTAGTATTCCCTAAAGCTGATGTGGAATGTGGGTAGCTGCAAAGACCTACAACAGCTTGTTTGCTGTGGTGGTAAGAGTGCCCACTTCATCGCATCATTACATTAGTAGTGCGTTGTTACCTCTTTGCTTATTCAGACATTGCATTCATTTGTTTACGAAATAAAAGGAAAGGATATTTTATACCAAAATGAAAGGGGTTATGTTATGAGCAACGGAGGCACTATATCTGCACTTCTGGGAGCACCATGAATCGTGCATACACTGAAAGAAAACAACGGATTGTGACTATGATGCATTGGTTCCGCTCGCCACCTTTATAATGGAACAGTTTGTTGTTGCATCCTTTTTGGTACAAAGTAAAACGATTTGTGCTTACTTATTTCAGGTCATTATCTTTCTACATTTAAGAAATATTTCCAATCCTTTTTTTATGTGGATAATCAACAAGTGGAATAGGGGTAGAAGTCCATTGATTGTGAAGAAACGGGGCGACTGAGAAGGCTGTGTTGCACTTTCCACTTTGAAGCCTTTTTTCCTAATAGCATTTTGCCTAGTGGATACACCCAAAATAGGTTATCACTTTCTTTGAGTCCCGCAGCCTAAAGGAAACGCCATCAAGAGATGGACCGGATATGCGTCATAATCTCAAGTCCACGACTTATAAAGGAGGTCTTTAGAAGGGTAGGCATGCCCTTAAACCTAAAGAGGCAATAATTCAGTCTGAAATATTTACGGTTTTGGCAAAGAAAATGTCGTAAATCTTTGTCTAGAGAGCAATTCAAATGCACTTGGTGGGTAGTGTGGGAAAACGATTGGTATTGGTTTGTAGGAATTTGGCAGACAATGAGCTTTATTTTAGCTAAATGTAACAAATTTTGGGGTTGGGATCATAGAAGACAGATGACGACACTTAAACCCACCGCTGGGTGAGCCTGACGCCTGACCAGCCATCACGCGCTCCACCTTTCGCGGTGGTAAAATTGCAGCCTTGCAAAGGCAAAAAAATCATTAGAGCGCGAATATAGTTCCACGTTAAATATTTAGTTATTAGTTCATTAAATTTCCCTGTGGAAGTAATCCACTATAACAAAAGTAGGGTTTTTATTACTTCCAACAGCATTTCATTTAATGACTATTTTAACGGCGCAAAGACAGTTTGATTGACAGGAGAAAAATTTGCTCAGTAGTCAGCTACCAAAATGTTTTTCGTAAAGATCTTTTTAAATTTTGCTTTGGATGGGTGATTCGACTAGTCCATGGGAGGTTAGATTAAACCAACATGGAATATTTACCATCCTCAATCAGAATTCTACTCAGCTAATTTGCCCGACTGTTTAACTAGGTTATTGACAAGACGTCGGGATACATTCGACCAAATGACAATGCAATGACAATTCGAATAGAGTGGCTACAATCTCAACGACTCTACCAGAGCAACTACAATGTCTATGACGACCTCGTTCATACTCAGAAGAAGCAATTGGCGTGAGTCTTCCCACTTTTCATGTAGCGGAGTGTACTCGAAGCTTCAAATCCTTCAATCCCTAAATAAGTGACTTTTTGAGTGTTAAAGTGGTTCATTTGAAGCAAATTAACTGTCATTTCGGCTTCACGGTTTTTTGTGCCTCTAACAGCTGGTGTATCTGAGCACGGCAAAAAAACTCTCGAGGATGAAGCATGTGATGCTGATTCAACTTCAAAGTGTGAATTCCATTTAGCATCTTTTGCAAGTAGAAAAATCTAACACATGTTTAAAGTGACAGAGCTAAGAATATCTTATGATGTACCAAAGTGTATGTCATTTAAAGCGATTTCTGCTTCACAACCAAAATAGCAATCAAATAAGTGTTGTTGAAGATACTTCTTGACAATGACTGCCACGCTCTTCAGGCTAATCACTTGTTTCCATTTCACTGTTATTCAAATGTTGAATTTGACTGTTGTAACTCCAAGTGGTGGAGGAGACATTTGATTAACTGGAGTGAATGTCATCTCAACCCATTTGTCACCTAAAAGTTGGGATTTTTGCTACACAATGTACTCAGCACTCAGTTACAAATGCATTTTGAAGAATCTAGCTAAAAGTCTTTTTGAATTTCGGTCAGATCATTTAGAGGGTAAAAGCCTTAAGGTATAGAATAAAATATATTTTAAGCTAGTATTCAGCCCTTAACATCCAATGTTCTCCCTTCGTTTTGAAGGTGAATTAATAGTCTCAAACCACTCCTCCTAGGAGTGAAAAAATTGTCAAAAGCCAAACTTAAAGTAGGAGATTTCCCTGAGTGGCTTGTTTTAAATGCTAAATGATTCGGGTTATAAAATGCGAAAGTTAGCATTTGCCTTGCATTACCTTCAAATAGATCATCCATGAGGCGATGGCGCTGCGACGAGATAAATGACCAAAACGTCTTCAAACTGGTTTAAAGTCGAGTCATTTCGCGCAGTCCTGTTAAAAAATATTTCAAGTTCTTTGTCCAAATAAAAATTTTACATATTTTGCTAAAATGTCTTTAGCATTCAAAATTCCAATAACATGTTCCGGGAGTCGGTGTCAGTTGATTAGTATTAGGGAAAATATTGAAGACATACAATTTGTTTAGACCTTTTATTTCAAAAAATTTTCAAAGTTTTCACTTGCCCACCTTTCTAAGATTTTGCTACACTTAAAACGCTGTCTTAAAAAGGAAGTGTTCATTTTTATCCTGTCACACCCAAACTCTTCCAATTTGCTAACCAAGTTAAGAGCGAAAGTGAAGCTAAACTGCCGTGCGCACTGCAGCTGCAATTTAAACCCAAGTTCCCCCGCCATTTGGGTGAACAAAGCGGCATCCCCAGGACTGGCAATGGAAAACGTTTTAAAACAGTGAACTGTAAAGTTGCACTCCCTCAGATCTTCTCGGGCAGGCTCATGTGATATTGAAGTTACATAGTTCGTGCTACAAAGTGGGTTAATTTAACTGTACGTAGGGTTATCCTATGAGGAGGCCCTTAACTGTGTGGTTCTTTATAAACTACTCTAAAATAACCATCTTTAGTTCAGTTTCGGATCACGAAATATTGCTGAGCTTAATTACGATGTAGATATAACTTCGCTTATTTCCATTCCGTTTTTAGGCCTCCCATCAGCTTGCTTTATGATACTAAAATCACTTCCTAATGATTCAGCATACATTTTCAGCACTTCGTTTCTGCGACAGTACTGTTATAAAGCCAGCTGCTTCTCTAATCATTCTACAAGGGATTTTTTACTAACTGTGATAAAAATTCTGTTTGCAAGTATGTTGAAGCAGGATTAATAATGGAAATGAAAGCACTGCTTTACCCAGCGCCAAAAGAGACTAGAAGAAGTACCTGAAAAGCGTTCCATTGTACTTTAATCCACAAGACCTATGGGTCTAAAAGTAGGTCTAATGTACACTTGTAAAATATCTAGAAAACGGACTGCAGGATTTCCTATCACAATCGTAGAGGCCTAATCAGTGAAGATTAAAAAGATTCGGCATTACAACGTTGAGACCTCAAATACATGCGCCTTTTTGACATAAATTTAAAATTCTAAAGCAAAGTGACCAAAGATGCATGCAAATTATGAATAACTCTTTCGTTGATAAAATGTAATTGCTGCTACCTTTACAGAAGCGCACTCATGTCATCCGCACGGTTAAGATGGGAATGAATGATTGCGTACCTCCTTCATTCATTTGGTTGGGCGGTAATTTTAGTTCCTAGGCTATTCGGCTGCCATCATAAAAAGTAGTAAATTGGTTGTCAAACCCGTCAGAAGTACGAAGAAGTCTGTATTTGGGCAAAAATAGCCCTATGGGAGGGGTCGGTCGGTTTACATCCAAACTCGCAAATGCTATTAACTTTGCCTCAGCTCCCGCCATAGTCAGGGGACCATCTCCCAACTGAAACGCTTAAATTTGCCATAAATTTTGAGTATTGCCTAGCTCTATCCAATCAATTTATTATTTTGTCCAAAATTTTGAAAATACATAAATTACTGCAAAAGAGAACCTTTAAATGTGTGACAACAGTGATAGCTAACAGCAAATTAATTAAACTGCATCCGACCACAAATATAAAGTAGGGTCTTTTTTCCCAAAATCAAAACTAAGTAATTTTGTCAGGGGTTATCAAAGTTAGGGTTCGTGAGGTACTATTAGAAAAAGACGTTAATCCTCAACCGGGTTCTGGAGAACTAAACATCTGCAGGGTGCTGTGGGCACTGATGCGATAATAGAAAAAACAATGGCCCTGACTTGTAAAAAATACAGTTGATTATATATATTAGTGTGGGCAAATAAATCGAACTTTTTAGTAAGCCCAAGACAACTTTACTGCAGACGCATTTAAACGCAGCGCCTCCGCCCAGGAAACAGGCATAACCGCGTCATTGGCAATGAATCAAGGCTTTCCCCATCCGTAGGTTATAATTAATTAACCGACGATCATGGCTTACTAAAATATCAGTTATAGGCATCTAATCATGAATATGTTCACTCAAAACATGTCCATGTCCTTTCAGATTTATTGTTCGAATTCACCAATCCCATCATTTTTTTATCCAACGACTCATTTTTCCCCGCTTTCAAGTAATTCCGTGAGAACAGTTGGGAGCGTCTCATGAGCGTTTAAGGTATTTAGCAGACTGTCACTTTATCAAAATACTCCTCTGTGAAGATTAATCACTTTTGATTGATTCAGCTAACACAAACCTACCGAATCCGATGTTGTTGCTCGGATTTTAAGCGGCGCTTAATGTAATATGTCGGTAAATCATCTACCACATAGTCACAATGGCTTAGGTATACAACTAGGAAAGGGATAGCGAAAAAATGGTAAAAAAGTTTTAGCATTTGAACAGTCTGCGCGAACCAGATAGACAGGAAGCAGATATAAAAAACACCAGTAGGTCCATTTCTTAACTCTTCGCCTTTGTAACTAGATTGCTATCTACTTCGCTGCAAAAATTATACGGAATGAAATTTTCCACAACTTTTGCGAGGAATAATTTAGGAGTTATGCACCCGTTAATTAAGGGCATAAAGATGAGTAAGACAACAAGACAAATAGATTAAAATTGGTAGTTGACTCATGAATAAATTTACTCACGATGTAAAAACATGAAAATCAGAAATTTTGAGCTCTTTTGCCACTAATAATATCATTATAACAGGATAATTTATGAATGGTAGTAGGCATTTTGCACAACTTTTATTTATTTATTTCCTCGCTTTAAATTAAGCCGCATTACTTGGCTCCTCATTCTAAATGCATTTGGACTTATCCAAGAGAAGAATACTCTTAACTTTCTAGAAATTCCCACCTTAATGCTTTCTTCAATTTTATCCCACCAAACCATCTCTACTTCGTTCCTTCTCACGTTTGAGAACCAATTCTTCCTGACATACAAGTAATTTGTCTAACTGATAGTAATGTTTATTTCATTGTAATTAATCTACATATCAAGAGCAAGATAATCCAAGATGGCACCCGGATGATGGCTGACTTAGTCTGCAATCTTGGTTACTAATGCATGATTAGATGAAGAAGTGTTATAAATGCAGCTCTCCTAATATGCCCTAAATCCCAGTCAGTAAATAAAATTGTGCGCATCTTTTCCTTTTTAAGACGGGAATTGAGAGCATTGCAGCTGGAAAACTACGCACTCGAAAAGCAGCTCTACATGAGCAACGCGCCCAGTTCCGCGGAATTGAATGTACCAGATCAACAGGGCACCACTCTTTCTCAATCTATGAAACACCTAAGCCTCTCCTCGCCCCCATCCTCACCAGAGCTCTCCCTTGCCCCGCAGAAACCGATGTCAAAACGACTCGCCGTGACTGCGGGCCGGCGCCTACCCAACGCCTCTCATCTCGTCTCCCCCCCTAAGGGCGGCTTTCTCTCCGCCAATACCAATCTGACCGTTCGACGACACAGCTCCTCCATCGGAGGGACAATAGAATCCCAGGGACGTCCGCGGCGATCACTCCCCAATCCTGGCGTCCCTGGCAGCAGTGGCGGGGGTGGTAGCGGCAATGGTAGTGGTGGTAGTGGCAGTGGTGTAAACTGGAAGCACCAAAAGCGCTGTATTGGGGGTGACGAAGACTTGTCAGAGGGTTACAAGAGCAGGGAGGACAGTCCGGTGCAGTATCTGTCGCGGGTGGGAGTACATGAAGGCAACTCAAGCAGCGCGACCAACGTGAGCACGCTTTCGTGGGGTCAGCAGAGCGGCCGGCTTTCAACCGGTCAGCGGCAGCAGCTACGGCCGCACACTGCCACCTCGGCCACTTCTCCTGTTCACCTACAAGGGCACAACAGCCACAGCTCTCTGACGCCTACATTGGTGTTCAGCCTATCCTCAGAGGACAGTGCCTGTGGTGGTGCCGATGGTGATGCCAGTGGCAACGAGGCAATGTGAATGGGCTCCTCTCTCCTCCTCCAACTCGCTTCGGTGCTCTCTTATTTCACCGTCTCCAACTATATTCGCCTCCATTTGCTTATCAAAGAATAAATAAACTATCCACATGTTTGAAGGCATCATTTTTTGACAATACTCCTTTTTTAGATTTCCGACGGAATATAATAATAAAATCGGAATCGATGTTGATTGAAATATATGTAAAGAGAAAGCACTGAGAGAAAGTGAAATCTTTATGATAATACCAAATTTTTATCAATCTAAGGTGACCAAACAACACTCTAAGGTCAATTATTTAACTTATGAGCTCATTTATCCATAAATAACTAATGATATAACATTTGGGCTCTTAGTTTGTCAATCGCTATCTTCTCCCTAGCCCTCAATTACCTTATATTTCGATAAAATTTAATGACACTTGCATCAGAGGGGATAAGGTGTGAGAGAGTCGCAATGAAATTACGAAAATTTAGGAAAATTTGGGTTCTGCGATTATATCACATCCGCACAAGTGAATGACCTACAAGTAACGATGTTTTCGCCACTTATTTGAATGGAGAACTTGGGGGAGGGTATTTATAACTATTTATTTGCCAAAGTGGAGAGATAATTGTTGAGCATATGGCAGAGTCAGAAAGGAAATGGACAATGAAGGGGGGATAAAGTCAAACCATGAAGGAGCATAACGATCCTTTTATTCTCAAAAATAGTATAAATCAAATCACTAGCAGATTCTTGGAAGGCGTCGAATATATCCACTCATTTGAGGCAAAGTTGGGAACTAAAATACAGAATTTACGATGGTATAAATGAAATACATAGCCAACAGAAAGACGTGTGATCGGTTTGCACTTAAAATATGCTTATTCCCTATCAGGAAACCTATGCTTTTTCAACAAAGCGCTTACACTATGCCTGATTTCCAGCTTCACTTCAGTGAAAATTATGAATCGAAGTTACCGTAGAGAGTGCTAATATACACTGGATGGGGTAGAAAGAAATATCAATCAACCTCTCGAATGGTTATCTCTTGAGTCTGCCTCTGTAACTTCATGAGCGTTCTGTTAGGAAAAATTTTTTTACTGATTTGACAGTGGTAAGGAAGAGTGGTGGATATTGGTTGCCTGCATCGAAATGACATGGTTATCCGGCAGTTCATTAGCCTTGCATCGCAAAAGTTGACTCCAGTAAGAAGGTCTCTGAGTTCACTGGTACCTGGTTCACAACTATGAACTCGATTTTTAGTTACCCGAAATGTTATTTTTTTATGAAGAAATAAAATCGCCCATATTTCCCCTGTTGGGAAACAACTTCCACTCTGCCCTGAATATCAACTGATACACATCTCTTTCATTGACTCCTAGTCCAAACTGTGATTTTTGGTCTGAACACGAAAGATAGAGACATTATATCAAAAATATTAAAATTTCATAACAAAGAAGCTAATGCCCCACGCTTCCGTGAATTCGCCATCCATGCGTTAAGAGTGTTTGCTAACAAGCCTTTTTTAAAATCCTACTAGAGGTATCAATTATGCGTACGCTGAGGGAGTAGACAAGTTCGCATATTTAAAAGCTAAGTTTAGTGATAGTTCGTCACAAATACGACCGCAGCCACCTGACAGGCTAAGAGTTGGTGTTGAAGTCCTTATGCTTTTAACGTAATGCCATTTTTATCCAACGCCTTTTTCTGTCAGACCACTGTGCTCTTACCTATGCCGATGGCCTCAAATGCTCCCTTTCAAAGGGAAGTTCAAACCGTCTTCCTCATTTTTGGGGCAACTACCAAGAGATTTGTCATCTTTTGAAAGTTAAGCACATTTATATTGCTTTGCTAGAACATCATCACCGTCTTTTAGCCACATCTAAGTCATTAAGTGGTTGTTAACATTCAGAATGTGCTTCCATGTGTATGGAGCGCAAAGCGTGGTTTCACATTTCTGTCGTCTAACATCGCTACACCTAGAGTAAATGCTCATTTATGCCAATAGCAAAGGAACACGCCTACTAGCCTTTTTAAAGTGACCTTTTTAAGAAAAATCAATTAAAATAATGTGTTTGCTTCTCGTTTTAAGCCTCAACATCAAAATTAAAAAAGATTTTGGGCTACCATTAAATCGTGATTTTTAAAAAATGATTCTCTCTTTCATCATTTACAGAATTTGATAACTCTGTACATCCGCCATTAATAAGCATATATTCATTGTATATATATACATATTTATTTATCAGAAATGTGTCTTGTTTTCAACGCCTCCTGATGCAGCACCCCAAGACTTTACCGAGGACGAAAGGCGTCACAGTACTCGGGCAAATATGTATTGGCGACGTACAGAAGGGCAGGGGACTACCGACATGTCTTAATGGCCATGTCACCTAGTAAAAGCACAATCACGGAGCCTTAAGTGCCTGCAAAAACCAAAACGAAGAGTTAAACAGATAACTAAAATATTACAAATCGTACATAAAGCTTCGAATGTAAGTAAGGCAGAGGCACCTCATGCGACAGGCAAATAGTGGAGAGTCACGAGTTTCCTTTCTTTTGCTATCCTCTTTTAATCTGATGAGATCATAATGCTCTTTGCTTTATAACGCATTAACTTAAGTTCAGCGTTTTTATAAAGTAGACCTTCCCGAAGAATTTTGAAAGGTTACTTTAATCCCAAACCCAAAGTGTTTTGGAGAAAACATGATGAAATCTTAATGTAAATTAAGCTATATCATGAACCCGGTCAGCTACTTCATCGGACACCACAAAAATCACACCTCAGTAGTTTATATGTGACTATCGTTTTGACCTCAGAATGCATTTTTCTCCCGAATTAGATGATATAAAACCGACCTGTGACATAAGTCTACGATATGTTTTAAATATCCCCTCACAAGTATATTTCTCTGTGCTCAGTCACTACACACCAGTTACTTCCTCAGTCCAAGTTACATGTCATGTATGCGGAGACTCGCCAAATGCAGGCGATTGTGTTGCACTTCCCTTTAAAGGCTTTGCCATCTTCACAATGTCACACGGCAAAATTGAGTGTGTGGTATGGTGTTTTGCTCTAGCCCGAAAGGCTGCCTCCCAGCCAACCTCGTTATACCATAATGGTGGACGTCTGGAACCAACCTTGCTTCCTTTGTTCTTGTATCAATTTGCCCTTCCCTCTTCCTATCCCTTTTATAAATGTTACACCTTTTTCTTTAAAAGCATGAAGTGAACGCTACAGAAATTGACTCAAGTCTGTAAAACAATTGGAATTTTTCACCTTTAAGTGAAGCTGGAAATTCTCTGAAGCTTTTAATTTTTAACTAACAATCGCAACATAATGGTTTTTAGATAATTTAAGAACCAAAATGCTTTAAGGCAATCGTCTTATTCCCAGCTTCAGACAACAGAAAAAATTGCTTGTGGTGATTAGGATTAATAAAGAGAAATCCTAGCTTTGTTAATAGCTGCACAACTGCGCTAGTATAATTTTGTCCCATTACCCTGATAATTGGGGTTTTTTGAAAACATGAGAAAAACCAAACTTGAAAATCAAACATGATCGGCGACAAGACAAACCACTGACAAGCTGGGAAATGCAAGTGCTTCTCACATCCTTTAGCATTTCTGCTATTTTCACTGACCAAATGACATTCAGTGGCACGCTGCAATCCTATGCTCGAAGATGCATTACACGCAAGTGAAATTTCGTTTAAGATACTTTAGAAAAGCAAATGCCCTTTTGATTCTGGTAAGGAAAGATCTGAAGGCCCTACTTTTGCTGTTAAGTTCGAGGGCAAAAGTTTGCCCAAAATGCTAGATAATAATTTGTTTAAATTTTCTAAGGCAGCAGTAAAAATGTAGTTGGCCGAATTTCACTGTCTCCTTGCGTTTTTTGAATCCATCAACCTCAAAATTATCTTCCTGCTACTTTTAAGCACATTTGCAGTTGTTTTTACCCAGAGCTATGGTAACCGTACTTGGCACGGCCGTTAGGAAAACAAAGTAGATTTCCCTGTTCATTATTCGCTATAACAAACGTTTTGCCAATCAAGTTGTCAGTCAGTAGGCATATGGGCTATAGAAAATGTGATATTCTCCCATTATTAAAATCCTCACGCGTATTTTGTACGTATTGTAATAAATGCAACTCCGTGGGCATCTGTCAACAAATGAAGCAGTTGATGGTCCTTTAATTTGGCATGTATATGAACAGTAGAAATAATCTCGATAGCACCTAATCAGTAAGATAGGTGCACATTTTAGCAGACAACTACAAAAAGGCGTCTGATTACCTAAATGCTCAATGTCGGAAGTCATACATTGATGAAAAAAATTAATTACCAATCTCCAGTAAAGTGTCAACCTTGAATTTTTCAATGTTGGGTGTTTTTAGGCAAAGCAAAACTTTGTGAAGCATCGTTTTAGTTTAATTTACCACTTCGGTCGATTTATTCTAAATAGAGCCTTTTTTCATTGCTCTCACTAAATCACTTTCTTCAGATGATCACAAACTTTTATGTAACCAAACCACATCGAAGCTAGTCAAAATGGAAAAAGGGGAGAGCATTAGTGAGTGTGTGAGCATTTTTGCTTAAAAATCTGCTTCTACCGGAGATTTACGATGCCAACGGTCCCGTTTGGCGCAATTATTTTGTGTAAATGTGTAACAAAACATTCCATTCAGGCTGCTAGACCAATTAGGATAATAAACAAAAACTTCGCTGAAATTGTTTATAGGGTAATGGAAGCACGGCTTAAAAACTCCTACGTTGACAATGCATAAGAGGGGTGTGCTTAATGTAAGTGGCCATGAATGGGATCGTGAGGCTCCTTCAAACTGGAATGCGGCTTTTGCCCACCTGTAGGAATACTCACGTTCAAATGCATTATTTAGGTCCCAGAGGAGATTTGCCAAAGTCTCCTTCCTATTCCAAATGTGAGATCATGTTAGAAATTAGGAACAAATCGCTGGTGGGGCTAACAAGATACCATGTCTTCCTAAACTGTACCATCCGTAGCATTCATTAGCTGAAATTATACTTTATCTGTAATGTTTTTTTTGCTGACTTCACCTGAACTATAACTAGAATATACTTTGGTTTGTTCCATTTATTTTTTAATTTTTGAAGCTGAGGACTACCTTTCATGGTTAAGCATTTTCACTTCTGACTCTTAATGGCAATTTTTTTACTATTTTTTTCCATTTCTCGGATACAAGCAATCTTGATGTTATCACTGCATGGGGAGCATTTACCAAACGTACACAAAAGATGCCTTCCTAATTGTCTAAAAAACCTCGATTTTAATCACTTCGCTGCTTTTATAGAAGCTTAGCGTCATACAATTTGGCAGTATTTCAAAACAGTGACACTCGTGGAGTATAAACACGTCTCCGTGAAAAGATGTTCCGTGTTTACTGCACAATTGAGTTCGATGTCAAATTAAGGCATTTTAGACTGCAAGGACAACTCTGCATGGCAGCATAAAGCCTTATGCTTTAACCGAAAGGAAAAAACGTGAAGCTTTGTTCGGAAGTGCGACAAAAGAACGTAAGTTGTAATTAAAATTACTCGTACGCAGATTAATGGGAAGTTACAATTTCATTGGCATAAAACCAAGTGGAAATCCATCCGGTACATCACTGGTGATGCAAAAAGCTCTGCGAGTTTACCAGCGCTCTCGCTACCTTCCGAAAGGGTGCAAGCATGCCTCGACATCATGCTTTACTTTTACTGCTAACAGAGCTACTCGGTGAGCAGTTGCATCGCATAAACAATCACCCAACTTTTTTCACTCAGCAGCATGCAATCGTAAGTAGAGGCATACGTCAACTAATGACACTGACCTCCATTCTCTCCATTTGACATCTCTTTCTGTGTGTACGCTGGTTGGACGAGATAGGGAACGAGTGGAAAAATCTTCCAAAATGAGTTTCGCCCATTTTATAGATGACGGTTGAACTAGCACTTCTTAACACAGTTTTGTATGGGTATGGCTGTCTTATAAATGAATGCTGGTAACGTTGAAGCAGGAATTATGACTTAAATTGTAAAAAGTTTCCTTCAAGTTTCAAATTTATCGGAAAATAAGACCTAGGGCGTAACAGTTTTTTAACTAGGTTACAAATATTTTTACTAGTTAACGCCCCTATTTATGTTTGAGCTGAGTCACAAAGGTGTGACTTTTGTCCTCTAGCGGCTTATAGTATCCAGTGTTTGAACCAAATCTACTTAAAAGTAGATTTTTTTGAGCTTAGGGTGTTAAGACAAAAGCAGGACTTTGTTGGACTACAATATAATTATACTTTTTGAATTCTTGAGCAACAGCCAAAGACTTGAGGAAGACGAATCATGTGAGCTTTGATGGTCGAGTTTCCTCTTAGACCCAGACAGCGGACTGTGCGTGGACTTTCCAATTAGCGTGCCCACTTCGTTACAAACCAATCTAATCCTTTTAATTTATCCATCTATCAATTTCATCAAAAGCGAACTCTCATTTTCGAAGCCCAAATGTATTTAGGCCTAGAATCACCATATATTTGATGCTACCGCGCATTGGTAATCGGTAAAACACTGAGAGCTTCCTTGGTTCATTTTCAGGTGCTACCCTAAATCACATCATGGTTACATCATAGCTACTTTAATAGGGAAGGAAAGTAGGGGAAATACTTTTTTGAAGCCGGGGATAAATGAGATGAGACAGTAAGAAAAATGACAAATATCCTAATAAGGACTCTAATGTCTCGTTCTTCACACCAAAATTTATCGCTCTGGCAGCCTAATGAAATTTGAATTTGGCAAGTTTTTACATCTCCCAATACCCATAGCATCACAGTTAATTGGAAATATTTTCCGGCGTAATATACCAAAAAGTCTGTAACAGACAGACCGCAGATGCGGAAAACGCCCAGTATTTGTGTAAGAAACTCCCTTTGATAAGACACCTTCTTCACTGTATTGAGTGCATTCTTGATACATTGTACATTGATAAGTGTGACTTTGTAATAGAGTAAAAGGCGATTTGTATATTCAGTTGCACAATATATTTTGCATGAAATAAGGGGTGAATTAAGCGTCACCATCGATCACACAGCAATCTACAAACCAACCAAATGGCCTTACGAGACTTGTGGGTTTGGATAGAGTCTTACAATAAGTGCAAGGAAGGACCAGCGGCCATTTGAGAGAAATAACATGAATGAGCGCCATGACACTGAGATAGAGACTGATACAGAGGCGACCGAGGCCGAAAACCGCTCACGATGTACAAAGTCAGGTCACAATGATGTACTTTCATTTTATATTGGAAGTGTCTGTTGGACTCCGCCATAAAATTGTGCTGTTTTTATACTAGTTGATTCTATGCAAAAACGTCACCTTTATTCTTTACATTAATAGCAGCGGCCACTATAAATCGACGTCAACTGTTGAATTTCCTCATAAAACTGGCGCCACGCTTAGTTCAGCCATAACGGGGTAATTTGGGAGGCTTTTAGCTTCTAACAAATAATGTACAAAATAGTGCATCTCGAATTGTCGTCCCTCACATAGACGTGGCCTACAGCACAAGTTTTCACCCATCAGCTCGTCCACCTGCAACCACAAATAACTAAATTTAAATTTTTAGACAGGACGAAAGAGCTCGATCGGTGGATACTTGCTAATGCGAGTGCCTTTCTGTTTTATGATATCTTCGCTGGTGACATTGAATTTTACGAGGAGGAATATAAACTAATTCAAGGAAATGAAAGTATTAATCAATGTCTCGGGTTCACAGGACAGCCCCTATTGTCCAAACACTCTTTATCTTAATGATGGGAATATTTGGCTCGAATACACTTAAGGATACCGCATTGCCCCAAAACTGAAAGCAGTGTAAAGCATCCTCTTAGCATCTGCATCCAAATGTCCGATTCCGCAACGTTTGAACCTGTAAGAACACCAGCTGAGGATAAGCAGTGTGTAACTATGACCCTGATTAACCTCATTAATTTGTTAGTCCTTCATCAAAACCCAGGAATACTCTTCCCCATTTTGAGTATGTCTTTTCCGACTTCATAGGTGAATTTAAGAAATGCTGAAAAGAAACTGATCCTTCTGCCCACATTTACCAGAATCAGTTGCAAATTACCTCTTGTAAATAGAAACCAGAAATGCAAGAAGACAGCACCCATATGATTATCAATCGAGGAAAGTATCAAGGTTGTTCGGGTTTACAAAAGTATAGAGAAGAAAAGAAGAGAATAACACAAATTCCAGGAAACAAATCTTCTTTCACACTTCTACTAATAGCTGAGATTATCTAGCACCTGGAAAGCAGCTCCGCTACCGAAAGACTAATCAGCATGCCTAAACAATCCCAAAACAGCCTGATCTACTTCTTTGCTGTAAATGATGGTGGACAGGTATTATTCTACCAGCATGACACTCCTATTCATCTCAGAGTGAAATTGTGTGTCCAGCAATTGTTATGTGTAACAGTATGATTCATACAATCTTAGACTACCCTCTCAACAGGCTCCTCAAATTCAGCGTAGCAATCAACCCCTCTGTGTTAATCCATGCGAAAAAGACAAATTTATCAGCAGTGTGTGCCGATTTTTCACAACTGCAAACATTTGTGATTACTTGTGCTGTTCGTCTTTTCTAAAAAAGCGTTCCTCCTCTATGCAGTCTCAACAGACGGCTTGTCAGTCTTGTAGCCGTCAAGTGCTCCACGCACTAACGTCCGCAGGATTGATTGCTGTGTTGGGGGCTTGGAAGAGAACCACGACGATAGAGATCAACACCTAGAGACCACTTTCTACGGCCGTCTTAGAAATGCTTGTGATACTCAGATGTCTTATAGATAAACGGCATGGTTCCAGTCATTCACGGAGTAAATCGCGCTTCTTTATTTATTGCATTAGAAAAGAAAAATTTTTAGATTTATGTCTGCAGATATAGTTTTGGTAAAAGGGGAAGATTCGAAGTACTTATGAAACTTCAGTTTCCAAAGTCACAAGTAGTACTTGGCCACAGCTACCCGCGTTAGGCGACATGGTACCCAATATAAGTAAAGGCTCCGGATGTTGAAACTTACTTTGTACTATAATCAA